ATATATTACACACACATATACATTCATACATGTACAGAAATACATACTGTATTACAGAATAAGACAAAATACTTCTAGTGGCTATATCTACAGTTTACTGTATATTCACTTGACCTCCTAATGCTCAGCAGAGAGAAAATTGCTTTAGAACTAAGATTGTATATAAACAAGAGGTCTCACTCCAATAAGTTTTGGTGTGTCTCTCTGCTGCATTTCTGATTAAAACGTGTTTGTTCCTCATTCAGTGAAGTTACTTACATTGGGTAGAGTATTCAGAAATATTACTCAAGTAAAGTAAAAAGTACAGTGTAGTAGAACTACTCCTAAAAATATTTTTTTCCCAAAAAGGTTACTCATGGTAAATGGACTGTACTTATTTAGCGCCTTTCTATCCATCCAGGACACTCAAAGCGCTACACACTGCAGACATTCACCCGTGCACACACACATTCACACACTGATGTCAAACTACAATTGTAGCCACAGCTGACCTGGGGCACACTGACAGAAGCGAGGCGCCACTGGACCCTTTGACCACCATCAGTAGGCAAGGCGGGTAAGGTGTCTTGCCCAAGGACACAACAACTGAGTCGACTGGACGGGGATCGAACCGGCGACCTTCCGGTTCCAGGATGACTCCCCTAACCACTCTACCACAGCCGCCCCTACTCAAGTAAATGTAACTGTCACTAGTTACTACCCACCTCTGGAAATATTGTATTGTTATCCAAACAAATCAATCCTATCAAAAAAGGACAACAAAGGACTCTTCCTTTTATCTTTTACAAAAGATTAATTAGGATTGAAATTAAATGGAGGAGGATTTGTAGTAAATCTGTGTACTTATAATTTGACATTTACCTAAAGACAAATCTGTACATGTTTTTTTGTCATTTTCTGAATCTGTTTTGTCATATTCTGTGTGCAGGACCGTCAGCAGCAGTTTCACCGAGGAATGCTGGAATCTTTCACAGCCGACCTGTCGAACCAGCAGCAGAACGCCCCGGACGCCAAGAAGGCCAAAACCAAGGATCTGGAAGAGCACCGGGTCAGAACCGAGTACCTTCATCATGAGGTACTGAGGCTGCTGTTTGTGCCTTCGGGTGGCTGTGTCTCAATTCAGGGGCTGCAGGCCATTTGTAGTCCTGTTCCATCAATGAACCGTGCCGTAGGTGGTCCCTTCTCACGCGGCCGACATATGCGGCCCACAAAACCAAGAAAACGTCGGCTGCATCCGAGTATCCCAGGATTCATTGTGCCATCAGCAAACTAAACAGGAAAACAAAGACAGCTGACGTTTTTATTTATTTGATGTGGAGATGTTAAATAAAATGTAATCATTAGTACTGATACAGGAGCTAAACGTTTTTATTTATTTATGTGTAACATTTTTAAATAATACATTCAATCTAGTAAAGTTATACCTCTCTAGTAAAAAAAAAAAAAACGCATGAAAACATGCTCCAACCGAAGGCATGTGATATAACCGTAACACTATCTATCGTCTCATTTCACAGTTGTTTCATGCAGCCTGTGGACTGCGTGGGGTTGGCCTCCGTGGTCCACACTCCGCGGTCTACGTGGGCCGAGACACAGTTAATGAGAGTGTCAAAGCCAACAGGTGACGCAGTGTTTGTTGTTCCTTCACAGATGTGTCGCTATGGGATCTACATCCAGATGCTGGAAATCTGGAACAGCTTGAGGAAGACGGACAACAGCGCGTTGAGCAGCACAAACCTGACGCTCTTCGACAAGGCCGTGTGCGCCGACGCTCTCTGGGAGGACGAGGAGGTGGAAGGCGGGCTGAAGAAGTCCCACTCCAGCCCCTCACTGGAACTGGAGACGGCCATTCCGGTTGTAAAAGTCAAGCGCAACATTTCTGAGCGACGGACTTATCGAAAGAAGATCGTTCCTCGGTGGAATAAAGAAGTCTGAGACGAGACGAGCAGTCTGTGGACTCAGATGTGGTGTTAATTTATACATTCCCTCTGGAATGTTTAAGTAGTGGAAGGAAAAACTCCAGAGGATTCTTCAATTCTGTGCACTTTTACAAAAACAAACCACAGCTGTCAGATTTTCTATAACGGGAGGCAAGACCACATTTTATTTGTTGAGTGGTGTTAAATGTCTGGACCTAATTTATTTAGTTTTGTTGGAACATTTAGGCCATTTTATTAATGCTGTCATACAGACGTTTACGTTTTCACGTGTGCTTTAAAAACATTACCCACAAGAGGGCGCTGTAGAACAGCACATCTCTGAACAGAAGTAGGCCAAAAGTCAGTTTTCGTTTAAAATTGTACTTTTTAAAATTGTATTTTAGTATTGTGTACAAGAAGTTCATCAGCTTCCTTTGAAAATGTATGAAATCAACATTCCTGGCAAATGTTTGACTCAAATGAAGGATTTTTCTTCTGAAGTGAATTGTAACTTCTGCTCAGCTCCTGTTCCTCACTTTGAAAAACATATGAACATCATTTAAAAAAAATAAATATAGGTAAACTTGAAAATGACACAGACTGATTTTTATTGCTTTTAATCTTGCGTTAAAGAAGGCTAAGACCGAAACGTGGAAAAAAAAGATTATCACTGATGTGTTTAAGCCTAACTTAATTTTTTTACAGTATAAATTTGAAACATTAGTTTTATTCATTGTTTCATCATCTGTTTTTATAAGTTGTTTTGGGAGAATGTGTTTTTTAATTACTACGGATTTTCTATGGCAGAAGTTCTCAAACTGGGGGTCTGCGAAAGGTATCTTGGGGGGTCCTCAAAAAAAATCACTAAATTGTTAATTTGGTTTTTATTTTTAAAAATGCATGGAGAGCAATGAACTAATAAAACAAACATAATAAAATTAATAAAAAAATATATATTCCTATGGCATTTAGGGGTTGAAATGAGAATAAATTATCTTTTAAAACAGTATAGGGTTTATGGAATTTTTTCGCCCTTGTAAGGGGTCCCCAGACCCAAATGTGAGAACCCCTGTTCTATGGTGTTTTTAAGAGGAGACAATTTCTGTTTTAGTATAGAACAAACAAATCTGTTTCACATTTACAGTATGTAGCTATGATGACTGTTTTACTGCAAAACCTTCATCAGCGTGCAAATACATCCAGTGTGTTCTTTCAGCTGCTTCTTCCTGCAGGGATCACCATGCCAGCAAACTCACGTGAAAAATTTGGCCGTTGTTTTAAACCAGAGGCCTGTCCTGATGCAACCTGGACTTGAACCTGCAACCTTAGGGTTACAAACCTGTTGTACCGACCACCAAGCTACCACAGCCCCATTGTACATCAGGTGTATTTTAAGGTTGGAAATGAGAAACGCTCATAAATAGTGGCGTATATATTTGTAGGAGCTATGCAACACATGAGATTCTTCTTTTTCTAACCCTCAGTTGTAACGTCTATATGTTGGACAGTTTCCATAAAATTCAGCTTAAAAACTAAAGAAAAAACTCAGGGTTCAAACTGAACTTGAAACCTGACCAGTGGTGGGCACAGTTCCCCTAAAGCACTAATAGGGGGAGTAATCTTTTCATTTTAAAATTTACAAGTGGATTAGCACTTGCTAAATTTATAGACTAAATTTAGAAGCACTAACTGAGGTCTGTAGATGTTATTGATCAACGTTAATCTCAAGAGCTGAAGGTGAAAGCTGTCACACATTTTGTTCAAATGTGTCACTTATCCACTATAGGTGACAATATATGAACTCAAATGAGGAATGTCAATGATAAGTCTTAAGAGAGCAACATGACAATTTGTGACTCAAGTTGTCTGTTGAAGAATTTTCAGGGGTTGATTGGGTTATTTTAGTGCTTTAGAATTAGGGGACCTAAATATTTGAGTTAGTGTTTTAGGGTTAGTGGAACTAATTTTTAGATTAGTGCTGTCCACTACTGCTTCTGACTTATAAAACGTTCTGTTCAGGCCAACAGCAGAGATAGTGTGATTGTTCCTGTAAGCAGCCATTCATATTTTGGGTTATTTCACCCACACCGAACCAACACACACATCAAACACAGAGAGACACGCATCCTGATTTGGTGCTGGAACTGGATCAGGCGGGACGACAGGCGGATCAGAGTAATCTGTTTATCTGGTGAAATGTAGGTTTGTCCCTTTTGGACATCAGGGGGGAACTCTTGGTTAGCATGCTAATGGAAATATCCTGCATTCATTCACAGGAAGAACAACAGCTCATTAAGATAAAGTCAGACTCTGCAGATGAGGATAACTGATTAACCATGTGAGTGACAGGACCCCGGGGCCATCGCAGCACCCTAATGAAGCCAGGTAGGGTGACACCATTTTGACCACAAACAAGTTACACCAAGAGGCAACTCCTCTTATAGCATTCCTTGTTTTTTTTGCACTCAAACTGAATAATTATGAATCATCCAGGCAGCAATGACAATTTGCTGATGTCACAGAGGAGCTCTCAAGAAAACAAAAAGCCTCTTCTCACATGGCCTGTGGAGCATGACCTCAGCAGCGGCGGTGGTCTCGTTTCTTTTGGAGTGCCATCGCTCTCCTGCTCTTCAGCAAACCATAATGACCGGGGCTGCGTTAGCTGCTGGGTTCAGAGGGCGTCTTTCCCCCCCAAAGAGCCGGCCTGTTTTTGTTCCACCTGCGTTGCTCCATTCTGGAGGGCCGTGCGGCTCAGTCAGGCCTGGCTGGGTAATTAAAAAGGCAAGAGTTGGGAGAGGCTTCGAAAACAGATTCCAGGCACTTCTTTGTCGCTGTGCTCACGCTGCCACCATTACTTCAGAAAATCTCTCTGCTCTAACCAAATAACACTGAGAAAGCACATTGCTCCTCAATGCTCCTCCTGATGCTCATTCCCAATCTGTTTCTGTTGACTTTACAAGCTCTATTTATTACCTTATCCTCATTAGCACTGGATTTCTCCCACTGTTTCTTGAAAAATAAACAAGTCTTGTCCTCGGTGTCACCTCCATCCTGCTCCAGCAGACTGCTGTCATGTGTCTTCCCCTCTCCACGGTCTTTGAAATAATTCTGTAAACCTTTCAGCAGTTCTGTTCTTTCTCCTCTCATCCAGCATTTCAAACCTACTTATTTCGCTGCAAACAACCTGGGCTTGACCCTGCAACCTCAGGATTACATTAGATTATATCAGTGACCCACTGAGCAACCACAGCCCCCAAATGTTCAGACTTGGTGACATTGATTTATTATTATTATGTTAAAATTCTTTGTCATGCTTCTTTGGGAAAAAAACACATTAAAATTAGACACCAAACTGTGCAGCTGGATGTGGAATAGTGTGCTGTGACTGTTGGTTGTGGTATATTGCATAATGTAAACACAAATATGTAAAATACAAAAAAAATGAAAGAAAAAGAGAAAATATTAATGGAAAACAGGGACTTTGGGGAAACACAAAATCAACACAAGGCCTTTTTGGAGCTTCGTATCAGACATACTTCACTGTAAAGTAACTTTTGTCCTCTTTACATCGGCTACTTATTAAACAAAATTGATTTCAAAATTTTAGTCATGACTCTTAATTAACAGGCCGTTTAATACTTTACAGAAATGTTGACTTCTTAATCTTTGGTCTTCAGACCAAAATCACCTGCAGGTTCTTAAAACCAGGTTTAAGACTCAAGACGACCTGTTCTGCCCCTGTGTCTCTGTACGGCTGATTAGAAGCAGCTTAAAACACTGATGTTCCAACAAGCTTTTATATAATCTTTATTAGTCACTTGTTACGTTCATATTGTAAGCTGTTTGTATTTATTTTAGTTTGCACTTTGTGAAGCACTTTGTGATTTTTATCTGTGAAAAGTGTAACACAAATAAAATTTTCTTGCTTGCTTAAAGTCATGTAAAGTTTAATGGGTCACAGAAAAATGGATTTTACATGTCGGAACTTTGATATCTTTTACGATTTTACACAAGTTTTATGATTTTTACAGCCTTTTTTTCACAGAATGTTCGTCAGCTGATGTCCAAATGTTCAGATTTCTTGCAAATGAACTCTTCTTTCTCCCATAACTCTTCAGTATATATACAAATAATACAACAAAACGTAGATATTTTTGTCTTCTTTCACCTGGTGCAGGGGTGTCAAACTCGTTTTCACTGAGGGCCACATGAGCGTTATGGTGGCCCTTGAAGGGCCAGTTGTAACGAACTTTGACGTTTCATGTTTAACTTTGACTAAACAGTGTTTTAACACGTTCTCTCATAAACACTGAAAATTAAGTGTACGACTGACTAAATTTGAAATAAATAATACAGAAATACTATGGTAAAAGTAAATAGTAATAGTATAGTGAAAGTAGGAGAGTTTTGTCACTGTTGAGTTGAGGTGAGCAGCTGCCATCTTTCTGACAAGGAATTCCCATGATGATTGACATATAAGGAAGACGTAATTTATGGTCATTGCTGGCTTTAAAGCAGGTTATTTTAAGACATTAATACTGTGCTATCCAACTAAATCGCTCAGTTACTTAACAGCTCAGGCGCAGGACAAGAATTATTATCTTTCACATTTTAAATTAGTTTATTTTGTTGCATTTATTCATTAGTTTAAAGTTTGTCATTGATACATGAAACAATTTTCATATTACATAAAAAAACTTGTTGGGGTTGGGGGAGACGGTAGTTACCCACGGGCCGCATTTGGCCTGTGGGCCTTGAGTTTGATATGCTGTGACCTCGTGTCGCTGACACTATGAGACTTACAGTTTTCACTCAACTCCCCTCAGAATACAGAGTGAACAGCCAAGCTTTGATTCTCTGAACAAACTTAACTTGTCATATCTCTTACATAAAACACTGTAGAAACATTAAACTTTACATGTGTGACAATCAAACCCCCTAACACGGATAGTTTAAAAAACTTTTCAGATTTGACTCATGGTTTTTGTGTAGTGACTATTTAAGCCTTACTTACATTACATTTTTTATCTGCCTCTCAATAACACAGCAATCAGGGAGCGAGAGACGTGTGTGAGTACCATGGTAATGAGCAGTTTTAGCTTTTTTTTTAAATGAAATCCATTAAAATGCAGATATTTCTTATAGCTCAGATTGTTACAAAGTTATGTTTGAATTTTGAGCAGGATGCATACAGCCTTCAAAATTTTAGATTTATCTACCTTTTTTAAATGATTGCTCTTTGATTTAATACAAATTAAAAGGCAGGAAGAAAAGTAACATTTCCTGCACTCTTCTGGTCTTTTTTCTTCACCCCTGACAGAATCCACTGAAACAAGAGTAGCTCCTTAGAAATGTTTGCTTTTTGCAAGTTAAAGGAGCCTTTTGAGAGGAGTTCAGGTAACTGCTTTGCTCGAGGGCATCTGGACGCATGACCTCTTCTTGCCCTCTTCTCTCCCTCCACACACACACACACACACACACACACACACACACACACACACAC